TTGTCCTCCTTCCCGGCCTAAGACCCGTTTTAATCCTTCCACTCGGCAACGACCGTTATATATATATATATATATATATACAACGAGGAAGAAGAGGCTTGCAAGCTACCAAAAAGAAGACCAAAATTACCAAAAGAAGAATTAATAGCAAACTACTGAATTTATGTAATTGTTGATAACAATAGCTTGCCTGATATTTAATAACTGAAAACTGGTAACTGTACTAGCTCACTTTTTCATGTTTGATCACAGAGCTGTTATTTTTCACAACATAATTTTTTGCAATTTACCTATGTTAATTATTTACTAAGCAGATTGTCATTATTTATAAGAATCTTAAGCAGAATTAAATAAACCCAATTTCTAGTTTATGTGACAATTTGTTTTAAGGTTATGAGCATTTTTATGCAGCTGCTCATGGTTCACTACTTAAAAAATAAGCGAATTTCGGAAATCTTCTTTTTCTTTAGAAATAAGTCAGTATTGTTTCTTATAAAGTTTTAATGTTGAATTGAATGAAAATTAATTGCAAATAAAAGCACTTATTGCTTGAAAGTTATATGCATTTTTTTGAATTTCATCCTTCGAGATATGATTTTATACTTAAACAAATGATTGTAGCAACTAGCAATTAATTTTATTCTGCTCGGTTTTATAAGTTACATAAGAAATATTTTATTCAACTTCTTTTAAAGGGATTATTTCAAATCATTCTCTCTCAGACATTTTCCTCTCATAAAATTGCTCACAAATGCTCCTATCAGCTTGTGGTTAGTTTTATTCGATTGAATGTAAAAAATGCATTAAAATTGGTACATAACTTTAAAATTAGACGATTAAACGATTGTTGATTATCGAGAAGTTATTAAACGATTGTTGATTTTTGATTACATTGATGAAAATAACCATTTTTTAAGAAACTCTGATGTGATTGACAATAACGGAAGTCCTTTTCATATTCAGCGTCGAAAATTTATTAAAAAACTATTAGTTTCATGAAATCTGACAAGAAGTTTAAAAATATAGACCAGTCTTATTGAGTTTAAATATTTGTAAAAAAAAAGAGAAAGGAATAGGAGAATTATGTATTTCAAACTTTCTTTTATAGTTTAACAAAAGAAGCAATTACTGCAGAAGGTGTAATCTTATAAACTTCAGGTTGATAAATAAAGTTGTTGTTGTTAATTTACGTCGCACTAGAGCTGCACAATGGGCTATTGGCGACGATCTGGGAAGCATCCCGGAGGATGATCCGAAGACATACCATCTCAGTTTTGATCCTCTGTGGAAGGGATGGCACCCCCGCTTCGGTAGCCCGGCGACCTGCGCGCGAAGTCGAGCACTTTACGGAAGCACAGTTTAACGAGGACCAATACCGCACACCTTCTCTCCCTACGCAGACTGATCCAAGTGGTCACCCACCCGCACACTGATCGCAGTCAGTGATGCTTGACTTCGGTGATCTGCTGGGAACCGTGTATTAACGATCAGTTCGCTGCGGGACGTGGATAAATAAAGATCTTTTCAGCGAAAAAAATGTTAAGATACGCATTATTCTTTATATAATATATATAACATCTTTACATAATAGTGAAGTTAAAAATTAACAAACTAGGTGGACTGTATAACACTTTACGCCTGAGGTAGAACATAATACACCTCACGTTAGCAAAAAATTAACTTTCCAATTGTTAAAAAATACATCTGAGGTAGATTTATAATACCTGCAGTGTTAAATGAAACACCTTAGGTTGTTGAATAAATACTTTCACGAGTGTAAAAAATATATTTCAGGCTGATAAGTAATAACTTAAGGTTGAAAACGAAATACCTTAAAGTAGTAAATATCTTCCTCTCCTCAGATGCAAAATGAAACACCTCAGGTTGATACATATATATCTCTAGAGGTATATATCTATCAACCTGAGGAGGTTATATCTCTGAAGGAAGGTATATTTTAGGTTAATTTTTGCGGAATTCATTTACACCCTTTTCAAGCTAACAATGTTACAACAACCTCCGTTATACCTTTAAAAATACCTCATTTATACCTCAAAAATACCTATATTTTTCCGTAAGGGTCTGGGAAACATCCCTGAGGATGATCCGAAGACATGCCATCGCAATTTTGATCCTTACAGAGGGGATGACTCCACTGCTTCAGTAGCCCGACGACCTTCACTAAGTTAAGCACTTTACAGTAGAACAGTTTAACGATGATTGATACGGTGTACCCTTTGTCCCTATGCAGGCTGATGAAAGTGGTCGCCCACCCGCTTACTGACAGCAGCGAGTGATGCTTGACTTCGGTGTTATACTGGAACCCGCGTCTTTACGATCACTATGGGATTATTAAATCCACAGCGGGACTATTAAGAAAGGAAAAAATATCGTAGTTAATTTCTATACAATTCAAAAGAGGAGGAGAGGGAAGGGGGGGGATCAAGACATGGAACCGGTCTTCTTTCCAGATGGCGTATTCGAGAGCTTCAATCGGGAATAACTTAAGGAATAAAGAAATAAGCAGCTGGAGTCGTTTCTCTTTCAAAGGCTTGTCAACAATCAAAAAGCAGTTTATTGGAAGAAAATTCAATTTCTCGTCATATATTACATATTTTAATGCCATATAAATTTCGAAAATATTTTTTATGCCGTATAAATCTTTAATTGGATAACTTTTAGTTGCTTCTAAATTGCTTTGTGGTTAAACCTCAGTAAAAATTGTTTTCAACTGTCACTTTTTGCAACAATAAAAAAAAATTTTTTTTGTACAATTTTAGTCCAACACTGTTTCAATTGGGGATATTTCTGTATCTTTATCTGTCTTCTCAACTACTGTCGTCAAGGTACCTAATAGATTTTACACTTGCAATTTAAAAATTAAATAAATAATAAAAAAAAAATATTTAGAAGTTTGCCTAAGATGGCTACGAGTTAGTTTTCGAGTTGCTCCTTTTCTGTGATGTTTTTTATTGTTTTTAGTTTTTTGCGGTCCGCTGCCCGGAAGTGGCCACTCCTTATTCTGCCTCAGATCACCATATGGAAATCTCTACTTTCAATTTAAATCTAGAATTTTTTATTATGAACTTTTGGTGTTCAGAATTTTTTATTTTAACTAATTAGGAATATATTACTGATACTTGTAACTTCCTATTTCAAGAAAATATTCTTTTGTGAAAAAAATTAATTTTAATGTGGTTTTGTTTTAGCTATAGAACTTTTTTTTGTGTATAAATCTAAAAAAAATTAACTGATATTATGTGATTTCAATCTATTCGAAAATATTTTGGTCTGGATTTTATTTTGTTTTCATTTGTTATGAGTTGATTGGTTTTTATATGTATTTATTAATTAATAACATTATTTAAATGATTGTTTGTATTTTAAGACTAGTACTAAATTGCAATCTAAATATTTTAAATATAACTAGGTAATTTTGATTAATTCAGTAGAACTTGGATTTAACTTTATTCTATAGTTTATTATATTAAAGTTTATACATTATAGTTTCTATGGTACAGTTATATAGTTTAATAAAACTAGTTACAGTAGAACTCAGATTTAATGGCCTTTATGAATAAAAACTTACCGCTTCTAGCGTCATTCCATCCTGGTCCAGTGTTAGTTCTTATATCAATAATCTAATATAAGTCTGGTATTAAGAGCGCCTTCCTTAACTACATCCCAGAAAAACCGATGTGCTTAGTTATATTTTTACCACCCAACTATGGATACATTCCATGTTTTCTTTATTTTTCTCCTGTTGAGGGCGGTAATAAAAAGAATTTTACCCTTTAAATGCAGGTAAAGAAGATCACATTGCTTTTGTTAAAATGGTGTTTATCTTTAATGAGTCAAGTGCGTCATCATGTATTGAGGTTGTATCCATTACACGTGTATGCTACTCCACGACCTTTTATAGGTTCTGAGTTTGGTATTGCACTAATTCTAAATAAATTCTATTCTCTTTTCTCACCAATGTCCATTTATCAATTGAACAATGGAAGAAGGTCAATTTGACGTCATCAGGAACTGAAAGGTGGTATGGTTTAAATCACCCCTTCTTTTGCTTCTCATTTATTGAGAAATTGAACTGAAAATGGCTGCAAAATGAAAACGCTTTTCCCTGGCAGAAAATCTTCCCTACCTCATTGAAAAATTTAAGCAGTTTGTTGTCACCTAACGGGAATTGGCCTCATCTTTACTTGCACCATCTTCTCACGAAACAATCTTTTGTCGGCAGGATGTCTTAGATTCAAAATTGCAGTTTTTCCTAAATTTTTGAATGACATTGAATTTTTGATTGCCTTAATCAATGGAATTCATCAAGGCAACTTATTCCTAGTTCAATACAATATCTTGAGAAATTTTAAGTAGATTTAATTAAGAAATTTTAAGAGCATGATTTGTTTGAAAAATAGTTGAATTTTTGTTAAAAATTATTATTCCTAATCAGTTTCTTTGCTTCATTGTTAAATCTTTGTTTGTATTGCTCTAAACTTGTTTTAAATTTTATTACTATTGAAATTGCAAGTTCTATTACTTAATTCAAAGCCTGAGTGTTTAAGAAAATGACTTTTATTTTGTGTTGTTTTATGCAGATTTATTTAATGTGTGACATTTTCTTTTCTTCTAGAATTAAAAAAAAAAAAAAACTTTGAAGTTCTATCTTAAAACTTATAATTTTATCTCAATAATTTCTTATACTAGTTAAATGTTCATTTATTTCAAAAATTCTATATTTATGAAACCACAAAAGTTAATTTGAGCTCTATCTTTCTATCCTTCCTTTTTTTTAAGTGGATCTCTCATTAAATTCAAACTTATGATTTTTAGACTATTGAAATGTGTTGAGTTAAAGTAAAAATTCTATAAAAAAATTTGTTTCCTAATTTATAATATTTTTATTTTATTGTAACTTATTATATTTGTATACTTATTGTAACTTGTGAACTTGTATTATAAAATTTAACTCTAAAATAAATTTTATAAATTATAAATATTGTTACGAATTAAAAATATGATGCAAATTAAATTATGTTATTTATAAGATAATAATGGATGAATTAATTGATTGAAGTAATGAGTAAATGTTTTAAATGATTGAGAAATTATATGTTGAGGAGAATTTCACAAATAATATAACTATATATATTGGAATAGAATAGAAAGATATAGTATTTGGATACAGTCGTTTAATTGAAAACAAACAATTAGATTTCAAAGTTAAAAAAGAACAAAATAAAATTGAGACCGGAAATAGGATTCAAAGTAATTAAATTAAAGTGAATGTGATCATTTACAGAAAGTGGTTGTACTATGCCATCGTAGGATAACAACCCAATAGGTTCCATGGTCACAAAATGTGAAGTTTGAACAAACTGATATCACGGAATTTGGAATAAGATGTACACAATAGAATATAATCGAACTACAGATTAAGGATAAAATGACTTGTTGTATCCAAATACTAGCATAGCATTTAGCACAATGACAAGATGTTTCCAAAAAATAAATAGAAGTATGCTCATAAAAAAGTAACATACTGGCCGCATACTGGAAAAATAAAAAACAATGACAAAAACAAAAAATGACACTTTGGATATGCTCAGAGTTCTGTTAATTATACCTTTAACTATGCACATCAAACTGACAATATTTAAATAAAATATTTTTCAGCCAAAAAAAAAAAAAAAAAATTACTCTCACAAAACAGAAAGTTCAACAGAATTCCTTTAGTTATACCTTTAATTATGCACTTCAAATTGACACTATTTAAACAAAACATATTTTAGACAAAAAAAAACAAACAGGAAATTGAACATTTCAAAAGATGCCTAAAATCTTTCAAGAAATGAATAAAAGAAGAGAAGTTTTTTTTTTTAAAATTTCATTTTTGCATTTAAACAGAATGCATAAAAAACAAAGATACAAAAGAAGGATGAATTTAAATGGTGATAAGATAAATACAGAAGGAATGCTTAAATTAAATATTAAAGAAAGTTTTAAAAGTATGAAAAGGTAGATATGAAGGACATTGAAATTAGCAAAAATTAAGATTTTGAGAAGTTGTAAAAAAAAAAAGAATAAATTTCCTCGATATGGGCTGCATCTCGGAAAGAGAAAGGCAGAAGATTCGAAAGAGAATGCGTGACAATATACAAAAGCATCTGTTGATTTGTACAAATCCAGACAAGAAATGACCAATTAAAATTCAAGAAGCAGAGAGTTTGAAAATCGGACGATTTGGATTGGCTACATGTGCCCCCCTAAAAAATAAATGAAGAAAATAGAAAGTTGGGGATGGAGGGGTATCTCTCCTCACGAGAAGGGCAATATCCGTTGACCCAGCAATGAAGGGCGAATAAAAAGTTAATATTCTTTTCGAAAAGGAAAGTGAAATTTTGCCAGACAAAATATATTCAACATATTTGTGTTAAAATTGGGAAAAGTCCCTTAATTTAAGGAAAATCACTTGAAAGTTTCCCATTAAATGAACTCATACAGTTATAAAAAATTGAGATCAAATAAAGGTTTCAAAAATTTAAAGTGAAGATTTAAATAAAAGAGTAATTGTAACATTACACTAAGTGTAACTGTAACAAATATGTATTTTTTTTTACTGATAACATTATTATTCCACTTTTTAATCTTTTGCTTACAGCTGGTACAATAAGTGAACCAGAAAAGGCTTAATCATGCTAAGTGATGTAAGCAAGATATGAGATGCAAGTTATGAGATAGGTTAATGAGATATTTCTATTCTAAATTCTAATAGATTTTTTTTAAAGATATATTAAAATCTTTCTCTAACTACCGAAAATACTATTACAGTGATATCTGTATACAATCTAAAATTCTTATGTAATAAATCTAAACTAAACTTGTGCAGTTTTTATTTGTTTTTCATCAATTATGCTACAAGAAAGCTAAATTGAAATTAGAGATTTTAATGTTTAAGAGCATTAGGAGCCTCAAAATTGTTAAATTGCATAATGCAGCTAAATTTGAATAAAGAATTTAAATACATGTTTAATATTAATTCTATATTTTTGTTACTAATATGCTAGCTAAAAATGCCTTAAAATGTATACTTGAAATTTATGTTGTATTAATTATCTTATACTATTTTGATATTTTACCATAATTGAAAATTTGTATTTAGCTGAAAAGGCTTTATCATTTACTTTTAAATAATATTTCACAGTAACATAACATATTTTAAACAAATAAACAAAAGCATCAGAATGAAATTTTAAGAAAACTATATTTGATTTAAATGAGAATGTTATTATTAAAAATAAAATAAAAAATGATGCTGTTTTATTTTCTGCGAAGAAACTTTTACATTTTACTTAAAACTATGATAAAAAATGCAATCATTAAAATTTTAAGAACTTATTTATGATTGATTTACATTTTGATGAACAAATTACATTGATACGAGATTCAAAAGGAGCTACAAAAATATAACAAAAGGCATTGCCAAGAAATCCAATAAGCATTTTCAAAACCATTCTTCAGTTATGGTAGTTGTAAGGGTTGTTTTCATGCCCTCAGGCTACTTAAGCTATACAGTTAATAAATAATTTTTTTTTTGTTGTTCTTAAATCCTGACTTTTATAGTGTTTTTTTCCCCCCTTTGAAAATTATTTAAGCAATTGAAATTAAGTTTTGTGTGCAGCAAATATTTCTAGATATCTTTAACCATTCAAAAGAAATGTGTATCCACAGTTAAATATTTTTTACTAAGATTTTGCTCCCTATTTCTCTGATATTTAAATTTTTGAAATTACAATAAGGAATTGTAAGTTAGGTGGCATTCCATTCTCAAAATACTTTTTGATGAAAGTGGCACAAATAAGGCATTTAAAGTTATTTGCTGTTGATATAAGCATATAACTTGTTTATTTCAATGGAATTTTATTGAGAATTTTAAAAGAAGCATTCATTTTCTGACTGTGTCCTTTTTTAGATCATGGATGCCTCTTCCAAAGGAAAACCAAAAACAGTCCCCTTTCAAACTGTGACCAGATATCGCTCCCGTGCGGCAATAACATCTAAAATCATGCCTTCTCCTGTAGTAGTAGTGAAAAAATTGAGTCCGTCTCAGTATGCTAAACGAAAAGTTTCATCACCAAAGAACAGTCAAGATGCATCAGCAGTCAGGATTAGCGATGAATCTAAGAAGCGGGAGAATGCGGCTCGTTCATGTCATCCTTCTACTAGTAAAGTTGATAAGTCAAGTTCAGCTCCTAAAAAGGCAAAGATGAAAAAAACGGAGCCAAGACTCTCAACCAAGACTATTTCTGCAGTTGCCAAGAAAAAGACGGGTAGACCAAAGATGGCAAATAAAACAAACTCTAAAACTTCTCATTCCTCATCTGATCAAGCTTGCAAAGGTAAAGTTAAAACTTAAACGCATTAAACTATGTGCAATCAATGAATTTTAAAGTCTGCCGTTCTCTAATTTCCAAATGATTTTGAAAAATAGTGGTTGTAGTTAACTTTTCAAAACACAAAAATTCTAATGTCAAAAAATATTTTTTCTTCCAAAAAAATTATTTTTTTCTACCTAAAAAAATATTTTTTTATTAAAAGTGTTTTACTATTTAAATAATGTGTCTTAAAGTGTTTTCTTAGAAAATTTCCAGAATCTCTTTACATTTTCAAGATATTCATAAGTTACTAAGTACGATTTACAATAAAATTATGTAGTAATTTTTAAATCCTTTTCATGCATATACAGTATAAAAGGACTGCTTTTTTTTACCTAGTAAAGTTTTTAATGAATTTTTTTCAAATTTTATTTTTGTTATTAATTAAAAATTACTCCAAAAATTTTGTTTAATCTTATTGAATATTTTTGTTGTAAGAAAACATTGATTTTTCATAAAAATGTTTATATCTCCATAAATATTTAAACTAGTTTTACGAAATTTTGTGTAGTTATTGCTAAAGTAATCAAAGTAATAGTAAAGATAACCAAAGTAATTTTTACAAATTACAAGCTTATAGCTATATTTTATGGCATAGAGCATTTAAAAACACTATTTTTTTTCTGAATTTATTGCCAGCCCCTCAAAACTTTGAAAGTTTTAAAAGTTATAAATGTGTATGAGAAATTGCATGACCTAAACACTTTTAAACTTATAAAACAATTCTTTCAGTATTTCGTGAGAAATATGAAAGAAATTAATTAGTATGGAAGTGTTTCTATAATTTTGTCCAACCCCTGTATATACACAGTGATTCTGCTATACTTTAGAAACTACAGTCCTCAAGGCCCGGGACTTCCATATTTCTGGGTCACTTTTTACTAAAACCCATTTTTATTTAATTTTATTGAAGAGCATGATATTTTTTCCTAGTTGGAGAATTAATGGACCCAGAGGGATGTGGTCATAACTTATTTTTATTGCCTGCTCTATGATTGCCTTATAGTATGAAACTGGTCTGCCAATTTTCTACGCTTTTTCTGAAAATTTCTTCTAGTACTAAATTTATGTTTCAATGTATGATTCTTTGTTTTTGTAAAGTTAATTAAAAACTATTTTTCACGCCATTACATGTAAATAATTCATAAGTTTATATGAAGGGATATTGTTGAATTGTGAAGTATCCTTGGTGTTGTATTCCAAGTAAGACGCATAATAACTTAATATAAATTTAATATAACAACAAAACATAACTAACATGCTAGCAGCACGTAACAGAGATTAGCAATGAACATCTATTAATAACATGTTTATATACTCTCTGGAAAGGTAAGGCAGCGGCGCTGTTTAGAAACTACAGGCTGCCGTCGTTGACTTGTAGTGATGATGGAAGGTGACGTCGGCTGACATCACAACACCCCTTTGCCCTAGGATAGAACAAAGTCTTTGAACCTGCTTGGCCTAACGATGGTATGTCTGGGCCTCAAGGTTTTGGAAACCTGTTCTGGAACTGGAATAGAAGACTCTTGTTTTGGTATTGTAGGTTCAACCACTTCACTCTGAGAATCAGCACTAGATAGAATGGAAGATGGTACTTCAGTCTCATAGCTCGGTGTTGGTGGAGATGCTACACTAGGATCAGACGGAACAGTCAACGGATCAGGAATACGTTTCCTCATTTGATCCACATGACGTTTAACTATCTCGCCTCCTGTTGTCACAACTTGGTAGGAAACTGAACCCGTGGGTTTAATTACCGTTGCTGAAAACCACTTTGGACCCTGTCCATAGTGGTTTTCAGCACTATATTTCAGCACGTCACGGTTTGGACTGTTCTTTCAGCTTGACCATTTTCGGACGGACGTCTTGGTGCGATCATAACCCTTCTGACGAGATTCCTCTCTAAGAAAGTCTGGTACTCCGGTGCTCAAAACTGGCCTCCGTTATCGGAAACGATGACTTCAGGTATCCCATGGGTAGCAAAGATTTCTCTCAGGGCGTCGACTGTTGCAGAAGCGGACGTGGAAGTCATATGATGCACTTCTATCCACTTTGACATGGCATCTACTAAGATGAGGAATTCTTCTCTCCTGAACGAACCTGCAAAATCTATATGAAGACGGAACCAAGGTTTCTCTGGAATTTCCCAAGAGTGCACTGGAGCTTTAGGAGGAGCATGACGTGTCTGTTGACATTCATGGCATCTTTGAACATGCACTTCTATGTCATAGTCCATGCCTGGCCATCACACGTATAAACGTGCGAGAGCTTTCATTCTTTCAATCCCTGGATGTCCCAGATGTAAAGCCTGTTGAACTTCTTCATGCCAGGCAGTAAGATTCCAATTTTCGTGGAGTAAGATCAGTGGAATACGATCCCATTACTCGTCGTCAATCCCATCCTTGTCGCCACATGTTGAATTGTGAAGTATCCTTGGTGTTGTATTCCAAGTAAGACATATAATAACTTAAAATATAAATTTAATGTAACAACAAAACATAACAACTAACATGCTAGCAGCACATAACAAAGATTAGCTATGAACATCTATTAGTAACGTGTTTATATACTCTCTGGAAAGGTAAGGCAGCGCCGCTGTTCAGAAACTACAGGCTGTCATTGTTGACTTGTAGTGATGACGGAAGGTGACGTCGGCTGACATGTTGTGAGACTTTGCAGAATTACCAAAAATTCTGGAAGCTATTGCTTTTAATTCTCTACTGCTGTATAAATTATTTTGCATAAATTATAGTAGTTAACAGCTCTATAGTAGTATAAATTTAACCAGTTGAGAAGAGTCTGAGCAAATAAATATTTTTTAGGAAAATATTTGGAATAAAATTTGTAACTAAACCTGTAAACACAAATAATTGTATTTATTTACAATTATTTATAACATATTGAATTTTTAAAAACAGAATATGCCAGAAGCTGAAAATAATATATGGTCAACAAATTCATGTAGATGTAAAGGAACATATTTTGAAAAATAAAGATTCGATTACATATACACCATTTAAAAATAAATTTTTATAATAGATTATCTAGATTTTAAAATTCTGTATGAAATAAAGAATGGGTCTGGCAAATATCTTTGGTTTGCAAAAATCTCTGCTTGTTACTTTCATTATTATATTTCTCTTCTCCTTTCCAATTGCTTCGTAATCCCCCTTCACTTTACTCGTTAAACACTAATCTATTTTAGTTTCACTTTGTATGAATTGTGATATTTTTTTAAAAGTAAATTTCAAAATTTAAATTTTTAAAAGTAAAAAAAAAATTTTAAAAGTAAGTTATGCACAAATCTAATTTTGAGTGTGTGATAACAACATAGTTATAAATCCTTCTTTCTTGCATAAATTTGTGAAATGCAAGGAAGTAACATAAAAAAATTGTAAGGAAAAAAAACTTAGTTAGAATACAGGTAAAAATGAACCTAGTATTCCAGGATAAACAAAAATCTATGTTGTATTGTTGAGCAATGTCATTTAACATAAGCAGCATTGAATTTCCTTACATATACAATTGCAAGTTTTTCAGTTTGGAGACCACCAATCACCATTTATTCTACTTTTTGTTGCTTCATCTAAACACCTAAATCTGCTGTACAAGTTATTAAGCATCATAGAAGCAAAAAATGAGGTCTAAATAATTATGTAGCTTGCCTAAGTTTATAAGCAAAATTAAAAACAAAAATATTATATTGTTAGTTTATATATCAACTGTTTGCTTTTAATTTTTGTCCAACTTGTTGCTCAATTTTTTTTTTGTAGCTCTTTGTTACCAATACTAGAAATAGACATTTTATTGGTTTTGTGACCGTATGCATACCTGTGTTTAAGCATTTTATATTATATAGATAATATAAACTCAGTTATCTTCCATTAAAACTATAAATTTTTTTGCATTATATTAAATTTTATGTTTTAAAATTTAAATTATTCTTATGATACTTAAAACTAAGCAATTAAACAGTTGTATTGGTCATTTTTTAAATCTTTCCAATTCATCTAATTTTTCTATTTCTTACAGTTTCTTTCAGAAGAAATCCCAAATTCGGGTTAAATTATTGTAGGGTTGTATTTTTATAAAAAAGTATGTGTAAAAATAAGTTGCAATTTTTGTATTTAACTATTGTAGTACATTTTAATTCTAATATAAACTATATTTAATTTTAATTCTAATATAATATTCATACAGCAATATTACAAAAAAATGTGAAATATAATACAGTCGAACCCCGCTATAGTGAACCGTCTGCGGACTCAGTAATGTGTCCACTATAACCGATGGTTCACTATATCCAAATTTTTTGAAGAATATTTTTTGCATAGGACAGTTGAATGATTGAAAATTGGCTTTGCAATTTTGCATAAGTTATTTAAAAAAATTATTAACTAATTAACAGATAATAAAGCAAAAATTGATGGAAAAAGTAATTACGTCGCTAAATATTAGTTTTATTTTCACTTTTTATGAAAAAAATTTGTGATTTTTGATTGAACACAATTTGATTTTAAATTGAGTTCATCAATTTTCTTATCTACAATGTGCAAAGAATGCAAGATTTTTACATTTTGAACAAGATTTCGAACCATCTTAACAAAGCATCTTCTACGTTTTCTCTTTCAGCTCCACGCAGTTTTTTTGATGAAACCATGTTTTTGTCGTATGCCGCAAGAATTGCACTTCGATTAGTAACTGTAGATTTTGACAAGGAAAATTCCTTACACAGTGTCGATTGATTGGTTCCATCATCAATATGCTTTACAATTTTAACTTCGTCGCCTATCGAAAACGCTTTTCTCTTTAGAGTACTATTTGCCATTTTCACTGCTTTTGAAATAAAAATCTTGTCTCAAATAGATAATGCAAGAATATGAAGAGAGCAGCTGTAGAATGAGTTAAATTGTTCCCCTTTTTGATTGTCAAGGGGTGATTTGTAAAGAATATGGTTTGAACAGATAAGAAAATTCCAAAAATTCAGCAGGTGGCCAAGTTAACTAGTTGTAGAGCAAGCTTGGGGAAAAGAGATAAAGCGAGGCTTGTCAGGGAGGGGGGAGTATAAGATAAATGATCTGTTTGACATTTATTACAGTATAGTTAAAAGTGATAAGCATAAAGGAGAGTAATATGACACATTTTATAGGAATGCATTCATTTTCAGTCCCAACACCTACAAGTTTAAAGATGGAGGACTGAAAAAGATATTTAAAGAAATGAAATTTGAGTCCACTATAACCGAGTTTCCAAGTTCTAAGCTGTTCACTATAAGCGTTAAAAATAACATTATTTAAATAGGAATACGGACGGGACCGCTAAAAAAGTTCACTACATCCGAGTGTTCACTATATCCCAGGTTCACTATAGCGGGGTTCGACTGTAATTACAAGTAATATGTTAGTGCATTATTATTGGAAAATTATATAAGTTAATTATTTTAATGGTCTGATGAATTATGAATAGAAAAATTCTGTTATCATTATCTTAAAGTTTGTTTTTAATTTTTACTTCTATCAACTGATTATTAAAAACTTAATTTTCCAATTTTCATTATAAAGCTCCTCTTTTATAAAAATTTCTTAACATTCAGTTACTGCACAATTTCTATGTAAATTATGCTTAACAGTCTTCAGATTTTTCAATTATAATATCCAGCAAAACCTTTATTGTTGATTTAAAAATTTAGTACTGCAAAGTGTTTTAACTAAAGTAATATGGCGGTTAAACAAAAACATAATTAGAAATAAGAATATATATTCAAACATAGTAAAATCATAATGATTGAAATTAACAGAAAACTGATTAAAAATCCATATATTTCTTGAATAACTTGCACACAATCAAACAGAGGAAAAAGATATAATAGAAGTTTGTTTTAAATCGTTTAACCTTATTGTCACTTGTGATGTATTTTCAATTTATTTAACAGTTTAATTCAGGTTTCATAATTTTTGTAGAGATTAGTGTCTTAGGCTTTGGAGAGACAAAGATTATCAACACAACAAGATAAACATCAGTTTCTTCATCATCACTTTCGATATCACAATGGTGATTATTGTGTGATGATTGCTCTCATATTTAAGTTGTTCAATATTTATAAAATCCATCTGGTCTTTTGCTGGACTATTTCCTTATATGAGTTCAGAAGTAGCAATAACAAAATGAAAACTTTCTCATAAAATATCAGCGATGAGATATCTCGTATGACATCTTTTGAAACAAACAGTCATATTTGAACTATTGCTAGAAATTCTATGTATAAGTTACTAATGAATACTAATTCCAAATTCAATTCATAATATAAAATATCTCCATGAAGTATGATGCGAGTTGCAAAGACTGTGATAATACTTATCTGTTTCTGATTATGATACCATGTATGGGGTCAAAGTCGTCCTATAAATCCTATATATCTTTTAAAATCTTAAAAAACATTCTATATTACCAAAATTGCCTTATAAATTTTATTTCTTTCTACACAGTGATTTTGTCACTGGAAAATTGGTTTTACATTTGCTAGATGAAGTTTATATTTTATTGAAGAGGTTTGATTAGCTGAGGTATCATAAGCTGAAGATGTTAATGAGTTCAAGTTAGTTTCGATTCCATTAGTTGAAGAGGTTGAATTTTTATCATCAGGGATGAGATTTTTTCGCTTTTGTCTCTCAAATTTCAGCATTTTTATCAAAAACTGAGATTCTCTAGAAGTTTCATTTTTTCAAATAACTATTCCATTTCTTCTGAAAATTGAGCCATGGAAATAAAATAATTATATTTCTTTCTGATTTTCAAAGATAAACAGAAAATTCAAACTACGTAGCTGCCAATCCTTTTGTATTTTTAATTATTTTAACTATTTTCTCCTCTTTTACGTGCAGAAAATAAGATTTTCGTCATTTTTAACCACCCGCCAGATAGCTCGTATTTTTGTAATTCGAGGTCGCTGCATTTTAATATCGAAATTGATTTTCTTATTTACCTGATTTAAAAGTTGCGCATTGCGATTTTATTCATGCAATTTCAATATCCTACACTGCAATTCTTGTTTACAAGGTTTAAAAATCCAATATCGCAATTTATACTTACGAAATTTTTAAAATCCTATGTTGCGATTCGTATTTAAGCGTTTTTTAAAATACTATGTAGCGATTCGTATTCACGCCAGTTTAATATATAATTTTAAATAGTTTTCGTCAAGGAGAGTTAAGAGATCCTTGTATTAGCGACTAATTGATTAAATTTAATACCAAGGCTCTTTCTCTTAGGCTTATGCTTTCAAATGTGTTGGCTGAAGAGAAAGCAGGAGAAATAATGAAGAATTTTTATGAAATCAAAACATTAGCAACCATATAACGGTTTTCGAATTCTATGCTAATATGTTAGACCGAAGTAGAGGGAATCTCTAATAATAGATTTATTATGCACTAAATTCAAGGTTGTGGTATAAAAAGATTACAGATTTATATTAATGATTTTCATTTATTGAAAAAGGATTTTTTTTAAATGATAGGAAATATGTCATGCATATTTCAGCATAAATGTCATTCGTTAAGTAACCTCATGGATTGGCTCGTTTGTTGCTGAACCACAAATTGTGGCAGTTGTTGTTTAAAATAATTTTTTATCCAACTGACCAGGGCCTACACTAAACATTTACCACCTAGTCAAATGCAATAAAATCGTAAATTTGGCTTAAGTCCAGATAATGAGAGCCATAAGAGAGATGATGTAAGCGTTAAAAAAACTGTAAAGTCCTGATTCATTGTTGGATATTTCATGTCAAAATTCTTTCCTGCAGTTTATGTCAATAAAGCAGATTAAGTGGTAGCTAGATGCATATTATCATCCAACTATTTTTGCAAAAAAAAAAAAAAAATGTTTTCTCATGACTGTTGTTTACTAAAATAAACTTATTTAAAATTTTTTAAACAAAAATGGTTGCTAAACTAAGAAAATTTAACTTTGATTTTATCTTTATAGATCAGTGGTTACCAACTGGCAGCACACGGGCCACATCCGGCCCGCGAAGCCTTTTTTTGTGTCCTGCGAACTGAAATATATTACTTGTAATTTTTTGCTGACAATTTTCGTAAAAAATCTACTTGGGTTTAAAATACTTTTCTTTCATTAAAAAAAACCTAATTTCTTCGTTTCTTTGAAATTTAACATACCAACGGTGCTAAAAAACTTATTTCTCATGTAAAAAGGTACTTTTTATTTTGATTTGTAATTCTGAGCGTTTGTAATTCATCGTTCGTAATCTGTAACATAAGCGACCCGCCATTTGACTGGTGTTTTGAATTGCGGCCCCCGGCCTCATGTAAGTTGGAATCCCCTGTTACAGATGTGCCACTTTTCAATAATAGACATAGTATAACCACCTGCACTCGGCTGGCAAATAGTGTGTTAAACCTCACCCAAATTTTAATAAAAAAATGTCCATAAAAACCAATAAAACAGAAAATGTCCTTAGTGCAGGCCCTGCTGATAGTTCTTTTTATTACAAAAGCATATGAACATTTCTATGATTTAATATGATTGATTGATCCTTAATGGTTAAGTATAAGTTTAACAAAAAATGTTATTTCTTATTTAAAATTTGTGATGAATTTTTTAAGTAATGCCATAATTGAGTAATTTTTATAGTATGGAGTAGTGTTTTCTAGCCTGTATATGTGATACTTAATAGGATTTTTTCCATTAGTTCTTTAAATCTTAACTTGTGGAAATTATATAGGATGGGCAAAGAAATTTCTGCTATCTAGTTATGTTAATTTTGTAAACATGTTCATAAAAATTATAGTATATGAGTGTATTTCAGGTTCTAAGAGTTGCCAGCATTGCAGAACAAAGGACGAAACCATAAGTTATCTGCAAAGCAGAGTCAAGTTTTTGGAAGTGGAGGAAGCATCTATTCTAAGGAGGCAACCAATATATGAAGGTTTTGGTTTCCCTGTAAGTACTAACAATATTTTTCTTTGAAGTTTATGTAAATAGTTGAACTTCATTAATTTAATCATACTTTACATGCATTTCTCTCATTTTCAATTCTTTAGTTAAATTGTATAGTGTGTCCCACTTGAATGATGCCACCTTGATTTTGTGCCATAATTAAACAGACACAAAAAAAAGAAAAATGTGAATCATACATGTATGATAAGTAAGTTGACATCCAAACACATTTATAAGGAGGAACTCACTCCCTTATCCAGATAAATAAAAAAACTCGAATAAGTAAAACAAGAGTTTAAAAAAATTCCATTAAAATAAAGCCAATTCTCATTATAGCCAAAATACCCGCCATAATTATATATGACTTGAACTATGCGATGGTCCCTACCATTTACCAATACCTGGTGGACAGTTCTATCAATATTATGCCAGGTTTCAATCATGGTAACCTTCAATTCTGCCACAGACTGAAACTGCCATATTTTGGTATACAGTATGGGACCCCTAACCCGGCATCCCGAAATTCGGCACATAATCCGATCTAATTTTTTTTTTCAAGAAATTTTTATTAATAAGAGAAAAAAAATCACTTATATTCTCTTTTGATTTGGAATTTTATTCTGTTGAAGTAAGTAACTTTATTTTATCTTTCTAAAAAAAAAGCATGAAAAAAAATCTGTGTCAAAGGAAACATCTGTTTCTAAAGCAGTTTAAAATATCTAAAGTGAAAGGGAAAAGTAAAAACACTTGCATTTTCAATGAACAAAATAAAGAAAAGCAAGTTGGAAGAAACTGATCAATCAATCTTGACAGCTGTGCAAGTGCTCTACTGGTTTCTCCCCCTTCTTACCCCTTGGTCCCCTCTCCAGTTTGACCATAAATTAGCCACACCCTTTTGATAATGAAGCTACCATGTGGGATACAAACTGAATTCTATCCCTTTTGCTGCTTTTTTTACTTGATGTAAATTATACTCTTATGTTTTTTTATTAGTTATTAACTGCTCGTTTTTTTTTTTGTTAATTGATAGCTTGTTTTTTTTAATCGTATTTAGTTGTTAGCTTGTTTTTTTTATCATTATTTGTTGTTAGCTTATAAAAAATATATACAGTGTAACGTCCCATTTCCCGGACACTTTTTAACAATCAGAATAAACAAACATCTCTCCATCTTCCCCTTTCCTTTAAAAAAAAAAAGGTCTTTTGACACATTTTCTCTTTTTCTAGCTTGCACTGAACCTCTGATTTATGCATCGAACCCATAAATCACCAGAAAGGGGAAGTGAAGATCTACCAAAACCATTGAGTGACCGTTAGTGACGCTCCTCCCTTGGAATGTAGGAAAAAGAGGGAGATTTGTTTTCAAAAGACCGCAACTGAGTCTGATTCTGAGAGGCATTTCCTGGAACCTTTTTATTGAAAGAAGAAATACTGTGGAAAAGGGTAAACGGAGCAAGTGTTAAGGTGGAGGGGGAGTCAAAATGGAAAATTTGAATAGGTCTAAAAGGATACACGTCCTTGAGAAACAAAACATTCGTTCTTCCCCATACCATGTAATATTTAGGAGGCAAGGGGAAAAATGGGGTAACATTCTTTCAGTCATAGAAGAAAAAATAAAGAGAACCCGATCAGCGTGCCCCGCCTTTATGCTTAATTGATAGCCAATGATTGGAGAGAAAACAATAATTTGTTACTTCCCCACCCTCAACTTAAATGATCTCCTCTTTGCACTTATTTTCTTTCACAAATAAGGAGGAAATGAATTTTTCTCCTCCACCTACCCACCTTAATGAATGACGGGAATTTCCCTTTCTTGCTTGAATCATTCTAGTTAAAAATGGCGGATTATTTTCATATGTCAATTTTTTTCCGTCTTCTATATTTTAAGCAGTAATATTTTTTTCTAATATTTCATATTTTATTGATTAGATATTCTAATACTAAAACATTATTCCCCTTAAAAATAATGTTAATTTATTTTTTGCTTCTTAGATTTAGATCATTTTAAGCTTTGTTCTAGAATGACATGAATTTCCTCTTCCTGCTTGAATCGTTCTAGTTCAAAATGGCGGATTAATATTTTCATAACTGTTAAATTTTTTTCGTTTTCCATATTTTCAGTAATAATATTTTTTTCTAATATTTTATATTTGATTGATTAGATATTCTAATGCTAAAACATTATTCCCCTTAAAAATAATGTTTATTTATTTTTTGCTTCTTAGATTCAGATCGTTTATTAAATCATTTTAAGCTTTGTTTACCTTGGGGGTCTATTGTACGGAAAAATCTATTATACGGACTTCTGGAAGTCCCACCGATTCCGGATACGCGACTTTACACTGTATTGTTATTTCTATTCTATAGATTATATTTTAATTAATGAGATTTCTTAAGATAGGACAGTTTTAAATTCACCTACTACGATCAAAACTTATCTAAATTTATTGGAATTAATTAATTTTCTGAAATTAGCAGTATAATTGAATTATTGTAATATATGGGTGCCATATTGTAATTTCTGAAAGAGATCCGAAATTCGGCAAATTCCGAAATACGGAATTTCGTCGATCCCGTGAGTGCCGGATTTGGGGTCCTATACTGTATATATCCCTAATGAGGATAGCTCTCTACATTTTCTTGAGAAATGAAGTTAAGGGAAAGTGCATGACATTCATGACACCATCTAGGCACATTGGAATCTAAAAACTACCATTGTGAAGATTTTTCATTGTAAATTGTGCATTACTGTATATTATTTATTTAATAATTCAGCGTTAGCCAATCCAACTTAATTATTTGAAATAAAAATATTTCGATTTTTTGAATGCTGATTTTTTAAAATAGTTTTAATGTTAGGTGTATTTTAGGTTTTCTATTAATTTTTTTCTTAATTTTATAGAAATTTATTCTTTTTTTATCACTATTTTTAATCCCATAGATCTTTAGCTGTTTTTATTTTTCAAAAAATTAAAACAAATTTAGCTTTAATTTTTTTTTTAGATTTGGCTGTTAGTGGAAATGACTAAACTTTTTTAATTAAGTAAAAAATTAAGCCATGTTTTGATGATTTCAAAGTAATATTTTTTTATCAATTTAGTAATAGTACTATTAATTTATTAAATTTAGTTTTATTTGAATTTTCTTTTAATGTATGTAAGTTAAATTCTTTGTTAACATTCAGTATATTTTAAAAACTAATTTAATCTTAGATCAAAAATTGATTTTATTAAAAAAAAGATAATTAAATAAAATGAAATAAATTAAAATTTTTTTTATGCATTCATTATGCATGGAATTCGACTTTTAATCAATACAACTTTATTATTTTAAATAAATAAACGGAAAAAAGTCTAGCAATGTTTCAAAAGTATGACTTCTTTCCAAAATAATTTAAAACTTTGTTTTAGTTAAATGTGCAAATACTTATGTTTGCTTTTTACTTATCTTATTTTTTAAAAATATATCTTATGATACATGTAAATGAAATATTTTAAAATAATTTTTTTATTGTTTTTAAATTTAGTCGTTTTTAATTCATAAAAATTAAAACAAAGCTTACACTTATTTTTACTTTTAGAATTTGGTCAATCCATTTATATTTTTTTAATTAAAAAAATTAAGAAATGTTATCAATGTTATAAAAGCATTTTTTTATAATTAACATTTTCTTTTGTTATAGCTTTATTTATTTCATTCAGTTTAGATTGATTCAGGATTTCTGATTGTGTAATTTTGATTCAACAGAAACAATAAACGAATGTATAATTTATATCGTTATATTGTGTTGTTTAACAGGCGCTATATCGTGATATAAGATTTATTACTTCACCCAATTCTAGTTAACACCCTTTTATGTGATAAAATTTAAGTTTTTTGACTAAGCCATTGCAGAGATTCCTTTTGTGTTCTGAATCAAAAATGGCATCAGGGTTTTTGATCCACCCACAAACCCAATAAATACCGGACACAAATGTGTATTTTTTTTTGGATTTTTTTGAGAAATAATAAAAATCTGCTCTTATATCAATTGTTATTTTTTATTTGACTTATAAATATTGATACATAATACACAAATATACACAACCCTACTTTCAAAGCTTAGTGTATTTAGATAAATATGTATGTAATTTTGAATTCATTCAATAATTTTTCTCGCATCAACATTAAGAAAAATCACTTTTTTTAAAATACTAATTCGAGTTAATTTTAATAAATTTTTGTTTTATAGAATATACAAATGGATGGATTAAAATATTTTGTTAGTAGCTATATTTTAATGCTGCAAAATAATGATTTAAATATAAAGATTCATTAAGTTTCAAACCATGATAAAATACTGAATAATATGAAATTAACATTAAATTAATTTGCATAAAATGTTCATTTAATACAAGTTTGCGTAATAGATTAATCATTTTATTCACATTATTGATTATTGAATTCACAGCTAAAATTCTAAATAATAGTTTTAAGAACAATTAAAAAAACTATTAAGAAAATTGTTAAATAAACAGTAGTATTAGTTAATTATATACAGGGATGTGATTCTTCCGCGAATTCTCGGATTTCTGCTTTTTTTTTTAGATTTTTAAATTTTTTTCAGGCTAAATTCTGCGAAATTTTTTTTTGTTGCGCAAAATAAAATATTTTATGAGGAATTTAATTTTCCGCGGAGCGAAAGTATTGAAGTTTTCATTCCTCCCTCATTCCTCCCTTGGGATGAAACTGGTTGACCTTTACTCAGGGATGAGGTTTTTTCACATTTGTCTCTCGAATTTCAGCCTCTTTATCGAAAACTCCAATTCTCTAAAAGTTTCAATTTTTTAATACACTACTGATCAAAAGTTAGCAAAAACTTTGAAATCTACAAAGAAAAGGTCTAAATTCAAATGTTCAAAAAACTGCGAAAAATCTCTCAAATTGCATAAAAATTTTATATGTTCTAAAGTGAACCCTCTACAGTTAGTTACATATGATCAAATTGCAATACTTTGTTTCTTGCGAACTGAATCCAGCTTTTTACCATGGGCTGTTTTTATGGTGAAAATTTTTTTTAAGTTTGAACACTTACCAAACTTGCGAAATTTTTTTTGTACTTTCTGCTAATGGAAAATAGTTATTTGAACCGTTCTATGTAAGCCCTCAAAATTTCAGATCGATTTGATTTTTTTTGACGAAGTTATAGAATTTTGAAAAACTTGTGTACTTTTCTCGATTTTTGAGCATTCCACATATGCAGTCTTTTGGTTTATACATCTTCTACCAAAGAACTTTTTAATTTTAGTGTTTTCTATATTTTCAAATAATTAATATTTATTATAAAAAAAATACTCTTATTCATTATTGTAATTATTGTTATTACAAAGAATTTATTATGAATATAATTAAAACAATGTCTCATAGTTGTCACTGTACACGATTGAACACATTGCACTAGTTGATTGATTTCTAGAAGTTTAACAAACAATACTTTATTTAACAATTGTAAATACAGTACAGAACTCGTTATCCGGAAATTAGAAAACCGGAAAACCGGAACGAAATTTGATGAATTTTCACGCTATTTAAAAAATTTTTTTTTTTCCTCATAAGATTTTTGGATTTTTTTTTCTTTTTTGAAAGATGTTTACCATACCATCATTTTAGAAATAATCATTACTGTATTACTTCATCGTTTTTTCTTCTTTTTAAGATTATTTCCTAATATTTTTTTTTTTAGTTAGGTTTAACAATAAAAAAAACGGCTTTTTGTAGCGATTCAGAAAACCGGAAAAATCAGTTATCCGGAATAGCGATGGTCCCAATCGTTCCGGATAATCGGTTCCCTTCTGTATTTAAACCAAAATCATTGCACTATTGCAATGGTCAAACAAGAGTTCAAGAGCAACTGACTAGTTCGAAACAATTACAACAGATTGCGTTTTGCTTTGACCGAATAGTCACATTTCATCGAAAAATTTGTTTGTTCTTGCAAACAATTATTGTTAAGTTGAAGAATGTACTATAAAATTTCATTGACTAATTTTTTTACTAGTAAATTATTTAATTTGCAGCAGCGTTATAAATATGTCTCCTAGAAAAGAAATATCAACTTAAAAACGTGCAGCTATAGTATCTTTAAGAAAAGCAGGTCACATATTGGCAAAATCACTGCATTAGAAAACGTTTCATTAGCATGCATTCATTCTACAATTAAAAGGTTCAATGAAACAGGACTCTACGTTGATTGTACACATTCCGGAAGGGCAAAGATTACATCAAATTGAAATGATCGAAAAATTATTGTTGCAAGTTTAAAAAATAGATTCGATACATCTGCAAAACTGAAG